AATGGTCATTTTTAACAGAAAACTAGCTAGAAGTAGCACTAAACAACTCCACACAATACCTTATTAAGAAAACTTTACAAAGGCAACAGACTACACTACACTAGAACAGTTGATTCTATAAACTAACTTCTAGCTTTTGAAACTTTCACCTTAATGACAGTGGTGTATTAGTAAATAAAAAGGCAGAATCTGGTGTTTTTCCAACACAAGAAGTTCGTTGGTACAAAAGAGTTAAAAACCCTAAGGTAAGGAATGCTTTAACTGCTAACATTAAACTCTACTGTATCATTTGAATTCTTTTGCCTTATCTTTTATCAGAAGACAGTATTCTACCAATTCATTTTACTTTGATCAAAACAATGTACTGATTGTGAAAAAGTTGATAGCAGTGATTCTGGTAGGTTCAAACTACTATAGTACTAAGGATTGTGTTCCAGAATGGGGCTAGTCTTTTCACCAAAGTGCTAGCATTCATAATGTCTGTTTCAATAGTCACAATAGATTCCTATCAAGTGGATAATGGCTTTCCTACAAGAAAAACTCTGTTAGTCTTAGGCTAACATTTCTTGAGAGGTGTGATGGTTTTTGTGTGAAACTTCTTTAAACTCATGCAACATGACATGCTATCTTGCAAGACACATTCTGGCAGATACATGTCTTTCTTTTCATCATACTTTCAAATTGACTTTCTCTAAATACTTTTCGAAGACTTTTGCTGCCTCAAAATATTTTAGTTTAAAACATATTACTTCTTATTAACACCATACAAGAAACAAACGAAAGCGTTGCTTCTTCTTGCAGCAAAAGAAAAAATTAGGGTGATAAAGTACAGACATATAACAGTTTAATGCAAACCTTCCAGAGAACTCTTGAGACAGTGAACAGTACCTAGTTTATGAAAGGTTATGTTTTACCATCAAACACCCTGTATAAACATACTGATGAGAACATCACCTGCAAATGAAGAAGAAAAGTTTAACTTACTTTAGAATGTCTCTGTAGATAGGAACTGTTTACGTCCCAGTGTGCGCAGTGTACATGTGCCCCCTCTGAAACTGCCTTCCCCCGGTTTTGCCTGCCCCTATTGGCGTCAGACCAAGTAAGACAAACAGGCACGCTTCAACGCAAAACATCACGCAAGCCTTTCATCCCCGGCATCGATTACCGCTGGCATAGAAAAACTCAAAGCCCATGTGATTGGCTCCCTGTATCAACTGATTGAGTGTCCTTATTAGATACGGGTTGGGGAAAACACACACCATTGGTCCCATTCTTCCCTCATTGTTGACCACGTACATGTGTAGTTGACCTCTATTTACCCTCCACATTGCCATCTGACAGCTGTATTCCTTTAAGAAATATCCTTTTTGTATGGTGGAGTAAAAATAACCCTTTCATGTAAACAAGGCCACAGTTATGCTTTCTTTCCTTTCATTCTGTAACATACGTGCATGTACATGTGTATATCTGCCAAATTACAAATTAAACTTACAAGTTTACTATTCTGCAAATATGTCACAATGTCAAATTGAACATGACCCTTTTCACAAAACTGGCTTTGATAATCATAAAAAAACTTCAACCCAGCTTACTGATAAAGTAAAAAATGAGCTTTGGAAAAAAATTTTGACCTCAGGACTTAGCTCACTATTTCACTTAACTAACTTCTATACCTTATAACAAACATTTACTGCATTTGACATCTTAAATTGCTAACGTAAAGTCTTTTGTGCCTTTTTAATACAACTAGAATTGTTGTCTAAATAGCAAAAGAAAGTGTTTGAGTCATATCTGCCACCATTATGTAAACTACAATGCCTGAGTTTGTAGGTTCTTTGGTTACGACTAGTACAAGAATAGAACATCTATCAGCAGCTGAGAGATAGTCAAACACCTGCTTCAACTTATTATTGCAACAGCAAAGTACCTTTCATTTCATTTCACATGGCAATACAAATGACTCTGGGACCTCCTTACATAGTAAACTAAAGACTCAGATAAGTTTCCATTTGGAATCTTAGAACAGAAGGTTTAGATTCTCTGCAGAAACATCTAACCTTACAATGTCACATGTATTAGGAATGAAGTTACATTGCATAATGCTGAGAATTAAATGAAACATACTTTTCTAAGGATACTTTAAAATTCAATTATACTGTATAAATATCTATTATCAAGAAACAAGACTTCTAATTTAAACATGGTATCCTTAGAAGGTGAAAATTGTTTTCAAGTGACCTGATATTTGTGACTTTAGAAGCTTTTTTATCTGAAACCACCTGTTGAAAGTTGTCATAGCAACCATTCTTCTATTCAGAATTTGGAAAAACATTTGACTTCATTAGCATAACAAATTATGTTGCTGAGGTACCGGTATGGATATATGCCATCTGTGTATAAGAATTTTAGAAGAACAATGGAAGAAATTGTTGACAAAATAGCAGCTAAATACTGCTAGTTCCCCTGGATATCAGTAATACAGTTTCTTGGATACACCTAATTGGGAGAAGCAAATACTTCTACATCTTCGGGTAACCCTGCAGTTATTTTGAGACTGTGGTATCTGGGGGGTAGCTGCAGGTGGTCAAGTGTTTGAAGAACCTGCTTGTAAAAACATCAATAACAATATTTGTGTCACTTGACGTGGTCAAACATTCCGATTTCTTACCAATCAAACCATTGCAAATAAAGGAAAACTAACTCCAGTCATGTAGCTAACCTGTAGGACTGGTTTGAAATAATCTAAGGCTGCAATGTTGTAAGGAAAAGATTAAGGTTGAGTTGAGTTTCAGTTTATCTTGATCCAGTTTTAGTTGCCTTTGATACAGGATGAGAGATGATGATGATGATGAAATATCAGCTGTCTTTAGCAAGCTACTTTTCCAGTGGTCTTGGGGGAAAAGACATTACCATATATTACAAGAAAACATTACAATATATTACAACATCAGCACAACATGAAATTACACTATGCACCTTTTAGATGTACATGTATAGGGCATTACAAAAGTTGGATCTTAAACACTACAACTGTCTAGTCTGAAAAATTACTAACAGTATGTATTAAGGTGCAACATACATACATTTGTACCTTAGTGGAAAAGTATTCACACAAGTAACACAGTTGTATTCAATACAAAACATGTCAAGGAAAAACTAAAGCTCCAGTTTTCAAAATTTCCTTCCTCACCTGAAAGAGAGATTCCAGCTGTATCCTGATCAGAGAATCATGTACCTGCTCCACAATATCAGGCTGGCACCTGCAATGTAGAAAACAAGCATTCCAGTATGCCACATGTTATATATTTACTGATAAATATGGGGCAGTCCACAGAGACTTTTATGGAGGGGGGAAACTAAGTCAGAGTACATCAATTTTTGCATTTCAGTCACAATGACTAGATGGCACTTATCTAGGACATTTCTTTGATATGCAAAATTTTGTGTGTGATTTCCCTCAAACGTTCTCTGTGTTAACAGTTTTTCCAAAGATGCTCTAATTGTGCACCTTTTTACTTTTCAGGTTTCCAGTACTCACCCTACAATCTTTGAGGTCTGCTGTTCATATTAAACCAGTAGTTTGTTGATTTACATGAAATATCAGGCATTCACCTCAAACAGGCAGCAAGGAGATAAGGAAGTGTAATATATGACACGACCTCCAAGGAACTGCCACAAACTAATGTGTAGGCTACTATCATAATATCAGACCCCCCTTGGCTTAACAATTATTACCTCCACCAAGACTGTTGATAAAGTTGGTAAGGATAACATGTTGTTACCAGCATTGTACCTGATCAGTTTGTTGACTAGTTTTTTCTTGTGCAATTGAAAGAAAAAGCAAGAACATTTCGAAAGACTGCAGTAGTTTAGCACGGTAGCCGTGAGAACATGACATGTACATACATGTAGATACCATCTATTACAGGGATGTGTCTATAACAACAGAGCTATGGGTAAACAGCAGTAACCACAGGGTTTACTGCTCTTAATACAACACCACCTGCATTGCTAGCATAGTGATAAAGACATGCTAAATCATGGTGTATCACAGCAACAACAAGTAAACTGTTGGGTTGTAAATTGGAAATTAAGTCACTGTAAAACAATGGTGTTTGCATTGGTTTTGTTATCTTAATAAGGTTACAGTGTTTATATTCTTTGGGAACTCCAAAAATGTATCTCCTGGTGCTAAAATTCAGCCTCTTCACAATTTAACGCTTGGAAGAGAGAATTATGAAAAACTAAATTGAGGTTCTGTTTGTATATTAGCTACATGTACATGTATATTGTTTAATTGATTTTGTTTGGAAAATTTATCCGCCTTACTTAAACATGTCAACCATGATGATTTTACCCCACCAAGGACAAAATTACTCAAAAACAATTATCACATGACTGTATGCTCAAGGAATCATTTTACAATCTCACAGACCTATTCAAATGTTTGTCCCTTTGATTAAATATATCACACACAAATGCAAACAATTCATCAATCCAACACCCACCTCTCAATGCTTATCCACCTCTCTTTTCTACTTCAGAATCTGCAGCTCTGCAATGCATAATTCAAGCATTAAATGGTAATGAACTATCAATAAAATGACAGAAAAAAAATCATGCTCCAAAAATTTTAATTTTTTAAAGCATAAGTTTGAAGAAACTTACCTTATAGTTGTATTCACTAAAATTCACCAATGCCGGAGTAAAAATATCCACATAAGAGGCAGGACTTATGCACTGATTTCTAGTCTTTCATTGTCAGAACAGCAGAACAAGCACTGAATATTCTTACACCCACACTCTTTAGAAGATGACACATACTGATGTCACTGTTTGCATGTATTTGGATCCTTACCCTTAAGTTTATTGTAGGTCTTCTACTAATTTACAAGCTTTTAAAATAACTACCAGCTTCAGAGAAACCTTTCATATCAACTGGTATACCTGTAGAAAGAATCTATCTTTATGCTCATCGTGACAATTTAAACTTAAAGTTTAAATTGTCACGATGAGCAATTTTTAGCTCTGGCTATGACTAACAAAAGCTATTTCTGGCAAAGACATGTCTTATTTAAGAGATAATATATACATTTATGGGCACTGTAGGAAGCCAGCTGTGTGATCGGCAGACAAAAGGGCTGAGGTAGGCTTTAATCAGAAACTTCATTAGTCTGTTGGAAGGTAGTAAATCATGAGTCACCAGTACCTGACATATGCACATACCACCAGCATGGAGAACGTGCGTTGAATTCAGCAAATTTATGGCAAGTTTAAAGTAGACAACACATCATCATCACTCAAAGGTGTATAAGAGATTTTTTCATATCAAATCCCAGATGTTTATTTACTGTGTGGTGAGGGTGTCATATTTGTGGAAAATGCTGTTTTGCTTTAAAATGATTTAATTCAATTTGATTTAATTCTAAGACATCTGTCTCTTAAGAGTGAATCAGGATTAGATATAAGATGTTCTTACAACTGGACTTTAATGCATGCATCATACAGTATGCAGCACATGCATGCACTTTGTGTCCTTTACATGTTGTGCCTGTGCTGTGCAAGAATTATATTGAGCTTGTTGCTATAATCTTTGCCCATTGGATTGTTTATAACATCAATGTGTTGCATGGGCAGATGGACATATTGCATACAAAGCAAAAGCTTGGCTGTAAATTTTATACACTGTATATCATAATTCAATGCATTCCAACAGTGTTGTTAACCATCATGGAAAAATCCCTCAAATACAACATTGACATGCTGTACTTCTTTTCATCTAAATCAGTCTTTAATTTTACCATCATGGTAATTCTTTATCTAGTACTGTCTGTTGTATTTTGGACACCATCCTACGCCCGTAAAAGTCCCTATACTCAACAGGGAGTTCTTCCAAAGTTTTTAGGGCTCTGTCCAGTATTTGTAATGCCCTTTGACCCGATAATAAGTCCTTGTTGCCATAGGGATCCTTGTTGTCATAGAAACCAGGATCTAGATGTCTCCAAAAGATGTTGACTGCCACACCAAAATCAAGAGAGACTACATTGTGGAACCATAATGCTGGAAGAAAATACAATTAAATGTTGCATTGTACATACAGTACTCAAAAAGTACAGTGAAAAGCAGTCTTTGAGCAGGTTGCATGATGCAACTTTTTTTTACATTGACTAAAAAGATTTTTCTCATGTCATCACTGAACATTGTATTTAAAAATCACAAAGATTAGACAAAGACACTGCACCCACAAACACAGTTATAAAAGAAATACATAATAATGGTTACAGACTTGATGACAAGGACTAGTACATGCATAATCCATTATCAAAGCACTGCCATAGATTGTAGAACATCACCACGTACATGTAAAGAAAAACTACATAAGCATAACCTTGGCTTTCCTTCTGCAATAGGTAACAGGAATACCTGGTAGAAAAAGGATGTCTCCTGGCTGAAGAGTGCAGGTGTAGGGTCTCGCCTGGGAGAACTGAGGAAATCTCTCAAGGTCTGGGTTTTCAAGGTCAAGGACAGCAGACTTATCTCCTGTGATAAATACATGTACATCCCATAACTGTCAGCTGATTTCAAAATCATCAATTCGTCTTTCCATTGTGAAATTCAGATTCAGAAATTGTAGCCATCAACAGGTGTACATGTCATACCTGTCAGGTACAGGTGCGTGGCGTCTCGTGGGCTGAACAGCACGACTCTCTTCCGTCCACTCACCTGGATGAGAAGGTTGTCCATAATCTGCAATAAACCACATTACTAGTAACTGTTGCAAGTCATCCTGCAATCTCCAGAGGTATTGGGTTTCATATCCCAGATTGCTATTTGCCATCTTGAGGTCTAATTGCCAGTCTTGTGGAGTAAAATTTTCTATCATCAACATCATCATTATGGGTTCTCCTCTACTTTCTATTTTCGACAATAACAAGCCATTAGTGGTTTAATTTGTACACAAAAGTCCTTGCACTCGGACAACATCACATTGTGTCATCAAACATGTGGTTTTACTTTTTGATTTGATGGGCTTCCTCTACCCTAGTCCAACATACATGTAGCATAGTGCAATATTGCCATCTAGCTACAATCACTGGTACTGCAGGCAAAAGGTAATATGTACTAGTACATGTACTATGTACATTTAGGATGCCCAAAACAAAGACAAAAGCAAATAAAAAACATACATCATAATGTGTCCAAAGCTGCACACTGGGAGAGCCTATTCTGAACACACTGGAGAAGAACTGCGAGGGAGCAAAGAACTCTGGGAAGATGATGTCATCAGCCAATTCAGGAAACTGTGTCCTGATATCTGCTACATCCTGCAGAAAACAAAAGAAATATTGTAAGTTGTCTGTAGTCCTATCAAGTGCTTGCAACTTTTTCTACAGATAACTTCCACTTCACTAATTCAGCAAGAAGAAAAGTTCGTTGTACCTTTCTTGGGTCTTCTCCCAAAGAGCGTAGATAATATTTTTCATCCTGTAAGACAAGCATAGATAGATGTACCAGTATTAGCAGAAAGTACTGTGCCTGCACACAATATATAATGTATTGTGCATAACACTTTGACAGAATAATTGTTCATAAACCAACTACTCAAAAACAAACCCACAAAACAAATTTACAAACAGTACAGTACTACTTAATATGCCTCTTTTGCAGATTAAAATGTAAAGCATGGCTTCATAGTCATACCTGTGAATGGAAGAAATCTGTGTGTTTCTCCTCTGCAGCTCTTCTCACAAACTCATCAAATGGCAGTGTTCTGAGTGAAATAAGATTACATTTCAACGTGTTATTAGCAACTTCTGTCCAAGAGAAGAGAGCCATAAATGTAAATTTCCATTGGGAAAGGTGTATTTCTGTCACTATGGTGCCAATATACTTCATTTCAAGGGAAAAATGACTTTCGTGATTGTTCATATGGATCATTACCTGTAAGCAAAGTTTTTGTTGATGAAGTCCATTTGTGCAGTGGGACAGACGTGGATTTTGACTTGTCTGTTTCCACCCTTCTGACAGAGGTAGTCTGTCGTCCAGAGGTCTATACAGGGACCGATATCCACTCCACGTAATATAGCCGGCACTCTCTGAAACATTTTATATATAACGTTATATATAGAAAAATCCTATACTCTATCATTCAACATAATACTGGTAAAAAAAAAGATTAGTAGGAAAAATATTGACGGATTAAAAATGGCATCACCAACATTGAGGTTAGCTTTTTGGACATGTGACATTGTATAATGTCTAAACCTAACAACTATTTTTTGTATTTCTCTAACGTTAGTAACGTTAAACGTCATAATATTGAAAATGAGGTTTTTCAAATCTTAACGTCAATGATCTTACAAATCTTAACATATATATGTATCTGCAATGCAACTTGAAACTAATATGACCAACCATCATCTATCAGACAGATGTCACTCATCACATTTTTCAAATTTTGGCACCTTGACTATTGAAAACATATGTGACATGCAAATTTCTCCGTCTTATTCAAAAACAAACCCTACCTTTGGATATATTTCTCTCAGAAAACGTTCCTTGTTCACATTTTCATACAATGGAACCTTCCCATCCTTTTCTGGATCTTCCATCTAGGATTTTTTCGTGAATTTTTACAGAAACTTTACAAAAGTGCGCGCTGTCGTCTGAAACTTGAGGTCAAAGTTGACGTGGGGGTTATATGAGAGCGCATCCAAACTGCGGATATAAGTGCTCCATGTTTCGATTATTAACACAGCTATACAGAATACAAAGCCGTAAATAAGTTTATTTATTTTTAATTATGTCTTGTGGACCTTTCGGGATTGTAGACGATTTCTATGTATAGTTTTCATATGTTATTGACGTTTCTAAGCGTTTTATTGTTTTCCATCATGGCTGCCGCCAGCTTAGTTGGGCGCCGGATTTTCGGCTTCTGCAATTTATTACCTCAAAGTTTCCTTTTAAGTTCACTAAACCACGGCAGATCCTCACAGAATATACTGCAGATATGTGGTAGATCCTTTTCACAAGGTCAGCGGTATTCTAGAGCTATAATCTGCCGCAGAACGTCCCAAATTTGTTGCCCTTCTCAACCAGCCGTCTTCTCAGCTCGCCATTTTTCATCGCCCGGATCAGAAGAAGGTATTTATTTCTGTGATCGGCAGTGTTTACATGAAGTCTTCTGCCTCACTGAAATTTGACATTGACACTGACATTCGAGGAAAACATTCCTCAACAGTTGCAGGTGTGATGTGTAAAGAATTGCTTAGAAAATTGAAGAACATGTTGTGCTGTTTATGCAGAGTTCTTTAGAAAGAGATCTGTTGTCCTTGACTCCCTCGAGTGGGCGTAACACTTTAGATTTGTGGTCACCAGGGTGACAGCTATACTTACAATAACTGCATAGCTATACGAACTCATCTGTATCTATTCTATACCCGTCTTACATTTTTAAGTATTAGTTTTGCAGGCATATCTGACGATCTGTCACAGCTAACAAGAATGATTAGAAACAGACGGTGACCCCTACCCTGACCTACATGTACATGTATACTAATATAAGGCCACAAAAAACAACACTGGAAAACGTTCCCCTACACTGTGACATTTGAATTCGATTTCTACAGGTCCTTCTAAACCCGAGAAACCAGAAAACAAGCCGACGCCAACCGTACAAGTCATCGGGATCCCCAGTCCACTGAGATGGATCAGAAATAAGGTCTACTTCTGGCTCATTCAGATCTACTTCGACCCAGAGTTCACTTACGCAGGCTTCATATCAGGGGCAAAACAGGTAAGGTAGTTGGTTGATTTGTTTTGTATAAACAGTAAACTGCCTGACGTCAACATCTGTAGTTCCTGTATCATTGCAAAGCAATTCCACTTTACAGGTATTAAATAAACATGTACCTCTTCCCCTTTTTAGGCCCTGGTGGTTATCTCAGAGAAACTCTCACAGTGCAATTTTGAAGGGCTGGACCAGCTCATATCAAAAGAGGTAGTGTAAGTTTGGCATCAATGTGTGTGTGTGGCACGGTCAATTATTTAGAGCTTTGATGTGAATCTGACATCTTTGAATGCTTAATTTCATTTCTTAGGATGACATTAGCAAGGTTCCTACAGCTGGCTGTGTAATGTTAGCTGAAAAATAATCTTTTAAAGTAACTCTTTTACAAAAATGCTTGTGTTGCTTTTGCTTCTCCAGGCCTTACCTGCAGTCAGAGACAAATGTACGTCCCTGTCCCTGAGTCAGAGGGAAGGACTGAGGGTGGACAAGGAGGACATCATGATCACATTTCCTCAGGACGTCGCTATCTACTACGACGAAGGAGGTGGGATATCAAGCCCCTTTCACACATTAAGAACATTCCCATGACAACCAACCAATCAATTTTCATCCCCGAACATGCCCCAAACACTGCTAACCTACTCCTGAATACCAGTCAACCATGGCTGAATCTGACATCCACACCCAAATGTTTTAAACATTTTGAAACATTCAGCTGGTGCAACCATACAGTGTCCAACCTCGCCGGACATTGCAATGGCAATACTTTTGATAAACTTTAATATGTTGCAATTTATTATAATAATGATGATTAATATTACGCAACTTTCCCACTCCTTTTCCCTCTGTCCAGGTCGTAAGTTTGTGGATGTGATGGTGAGGTTTTGGTACCTGAGTAAGGCCAGGTGGCATCCCATGGAGGATGACCCAGAAGGGATTAAGATATTCAAGGTTCCCAGAATAGAAGGGATGGAAGGTCGAGAGGAGGACAAGAAAATCCTCACCTGTAATTATGAGTAAGTTTTTCCAGTCGTGAATGATATTAGTGTTACTCATGTACATGTACAACCGCTTTGCTGTAAGTTTCATGTAAGAAAAATAAAGTACAGCAGATTCATTCCTCAAGATAACCGACATCTAGCACACCACAGTCGTCCCTCAGTAAGACATCTGGAGCTGCATAGTTCCTGTTTAGAACTTTTATTTTGCCTGTCACTGAATAGGTATAATAATGTAATAAATATTTCAGAATTGTCCAAATTAACGTAAATGTAGGTGCCTCCAAAGCTGGTGTGTTATGCCAAAGGGCGGTTATACCGGCTATACTGATACAGATACATACATGTATGTTAAAGATTAGTCTCACACCAAAGATAAAATTGGCTCCCCTCTGTTTTCTGTTGCAAAAGAAATCTTAATCCAGTCTTTTCTCTCCCTAGGTTCCACCGTGAGTTCACCCCAGGAGTGACAGCTGACTGGACAGTCACTAAAGTACAGCACTGGAAGCTTCTAGAATAACTCAGGCTGATTTTAGTCCTTTTTATAGATATGTACAGCCTCATAACACTGGTCAAATCTGGAAAGACTTTCATAAGTCATTTGCAATTAATTTTAAATAAAACACAGCTATGTTTGTTAAAACCAATCCCATAATTTCTGCCATTTGGAACTTAGTGGATTTCATTTGATTTTATGTGACCATTTACATAAAAACCTTGAAACTTACAAAATGTCTTGCCAAATTCAAACTCAAATTCAAAGTGGTGGTGTATTCAGCAACAGTCTGTTTTGTAAGAAAACTATTACAAACAATGAGACTCCTCCACATTTACAGTAACATTGCAATTAAGTAATTATTTCCATTTGTTTGTATCATAGTTGTAATTGTGTTTACAATGTCCACTCAACATTGATCTGTGAAAAAGCATTTAGCTCCAATGACAATTTCTTGCCATGAATACATGTTTGTTCCCTAACCCTGAGTCATGGAACATTGCATGTGGCAATGTCCATGTAACCCTATGCTTGTTATGAGAGCATTTTAAGGCTACATCAAATGTTATGCAAAGATAGCTGTTTTCATATTGAAAGTTGTACTTTCTTGATTATCCTGAAGTTGGTTATGAAGAATGGTATATGTATATTTTCAGAAGCTGTTAGCCATGTTGTTGCTACTCATTGCAACACTTCCAGTTGAGAAGTTGAAACTCAATACAATAAAAGTTAGAAAGATGTTATTGTGTGGAATGTTGTTTCCTACCATATCAATATATTTTCTGGTTTACAATGCTGTTAGCTGCCTCAAATCTTATCTCAAATCCTTTTTATGCATTAATCATCCTTGCCACTAGGAGGCACTGTTTGGAATGGATTTGCCTCCTGCCACCAGTCCTTTAGTCTACCAAAGAGGGTATTTTTCAGGTAGGACCTTTTCCACTGGTTGTATTGGCTGATACTGCTGCTGAGCTGCAGGGAGTAGTCCAGTGACTTGCCGCCCTTCTGGAAGGCCTGTCCAGGTGCTAGGTTACGGAACCAGCGCAAGGCTTGGTCGGGGGTGGCGTCCTTGGGGGGAACTACACGAGGGACGGAGTTGTCCTTGTCCGGTACTGCGGCCGTGGAGTGACAGGAGGCGCAGCAGGACTTGAAGTTGTCCACCGGTCCGTTTGCGCGGCCCAGCCAGCCTAGGTACGGACGGGAACCTGGAGAGAATAGCAAGACTGTGTAAAAGAATTACCTTAACACTTAACAAAATGTATGTCAGTGTTTCATTGTGTGTGTGTGTGTGTGTGTGTGTGTGTGTGTGTGTGTGTGTGTGTGTGTGTGTGTGAATACTGCATCGAGTGGGAGGGGTGTATAGAAATGATGCAGAAAACTTATATATATCTATGATGGGCAACAACATTGCTAGCAGTGTGCAAAGGAGACTCTGCTATTGCCTTTTTTTCACAACAAAAGAAAAGGCTGTCATCAAAAGCTTCTACCCTTTTGTAACTACATGTACTAAGTAGAAATATGTGAAGAGGCAAATTCACCAGACAGTATCCCCAGCTCCCTGATCCTTGGGTTGTTCCAAGTCTGTACGGGCCGGGCGCCCTCCTGGTACCGCTGCTGAGTCAGGTCAGGATCGTTCCCCCACTGCAGACAGACGGGCACCAGCCGCCGCCAGGGGGCGTCATTGGACTGGGAGCTGTGGTACACAAACGTCCCGAACACCCAGCCTGAAAATAGCACCGTAAAATGCAACACAATCAACAACTGCTGCAACCCTACCTGAAAAAATAACATTCATGAGCCAAACTCAACTTATGAGGCATTGTTTAAGCAAAACTCAGTCTCAGTAACTGAGCCCTTTTCCTTACCGATGTCGGCCCTGTCGTCTCTGACGGCCACGTCCATCTGAATCAGCCTCGTCTCTACAGGTGGACCTCTGTCTCCGGGTTCTCGTGGGGTTTTAGCGATCGCCGCTTTCCAGACCGGACTGCCCTTAAGGATGGGAACTTCCTCCTCCGTCGCCTGTGTGAAAAGCGGCTTGAACCCTACGGTACCCTCTGGAAAGGTGACGCCGTTCTGTGCGGGTTTCCAAGGGAGGGACCACACCTGCCCCACGGCGTTCGCCCCGGGGGAGTTGTAGAAGGCGACCGCCCAGTTCTGCACCTCTCTCCGCTGCGACTCCGACAACATCCCCTGTTTGGACGACTTCTCCATGGTCAGGCCGTGGACGGGCTCGCGTCCTGTGGGCTGGGACGACATCCAGGGGACGTGGTACCAGTCACGGGTCTGGTTCTGATCCACCTGTTCACGAATAAAAACAAAGAAACAAACGAACATGTAGGTACTCGTAACAACAGGTAAGGTCAAACTTGACTGCACAACAATATTTTGATAGATATGATATATACGGCAAGTTTTTGAGCAATACCAACGTCCTTGGCAATACTAATATCAAGTGTAATACATGTATCTACGCCTTTGCCTATAACATTGTTTTACATAACTTGAAGACTAAACACCACGCTATTTTATGAGTGATACAAGATATATGAAACATGGATTATATGATAATACATGTGTACACAGAAAACATCGATATCAATTGTAAGAAATGATACGTTTTCTTTTGAATAAAGTCCTAGAGATATGGCCAAGGAAATTGGCCTATGTACAGGTAAATTGTGTCAGTATAAACACGCATACATGTACCTTAAAGTCGCACTCGACATTCCCTTCCAAACAGTAGTCCCTGACGGTGTACAGATATTTCTCTGGCTCCGTCCTGAAGTCTATGTCCAGCCAGGGGAAGGTCTCGTTGTTTGGGTTCGCACGAGACGGGAAGTCGAGTCGGGGTTTGAAGACAGGCCCGGTGTAAGCGGCAGGTGGAGGGTTGTAAGACGGGCGGGAGAATTCGCGCAGGGCAGCCGCCTGAAACTCAGCCTGCCGCCGCCGGAACCCCGCCACCACACCGACTACCGCGCCCGCGGCTCCCGTAAAGGCAACAACTCGTCCCAAACCGCTAGAAATCATTTTAAGAGAGGGTTCCTAACTGCGCAGTAGTTTTAGCCTGTTTTTAAGACTATATATAAAAGACAGCGTATATAGGGGATTCACCGTGTTTTGTGCATACATGTTGTTGTAAGTCATAAATACGTGACCGAAACTTTCACTCAGCCAGTTTACATAATAAATGACTTATTCCTATTCTCTTCACGACAAACCACTAAAAAGTATCTTACAGCTTAGTGTTTGCAATATTTGTAAACTTTTACTTTTGGCATGGGGAATAAGAAGAGTAAGTTTTTGAACATGTTTCATTGTACCCAATACAAAGCAGGTGAAAGTCTATTCACGTACCACAGCTATTGTCAATACTCACAGGTCAGAGCATAGGTGGCACTAGTTTCGATGCGTCACATCTGTTTCTAAACGTCTGTATGTTTGTTGAGGACAGTAAAAACCTCCTGTCTCTCTTGTCTAGTTTCCACTCCTTTTTGATTTTGTTATACCCCAATTAAAAACGGGACAGTTACAAATCATATTGCATGCACCACAAATGCACGTTAACTTGTACATTGTGTGATATGAGTCAGGGATATACAAGATTTCTTTAACTAAAATGTTCATGAAAATGTTTTACAGACTCATCGCTCATAGGATCACATGTTATCCATGAAGCCATTATACATCTATTCGTAACTGTCAATAATTAATGTGTTACCATCTGCAGCAATGTTGTGAAAGAACTTTTGTATTTTTAACATTTTCCCAACTGTTAAACTCATTAGTCCCAGTCTGCCAATGAAGTTTACGTTGGGTTTCAGACTGTGTTGTCTGAAATGAGAAACACGGGAACTACCTTGGCATGGGGCCTAACATAGCGCTGCTTAACTTGACCATTGGAACAGTCCAACATTAAATGTTGTTCACAGTTCACTTAACCTCAGTAGCTTCAGAAGTGTACATTACCATATATGTCCCCTATAGTGCATGTACAGTATTGAAAGTACATATAGTTCAGGTATATACTAAAGATGATATAGCCTGGGTACCATACTACTTGTATGCCGGGGCTCCCACACTCGCTTCCCTAACAAGTAGCGAGTGTGGGAGCCCCGGCATACAAGTAGGATGGTACCCAGGCTAAAGATGATAGTGGCTGGCCGGCTGAAGCTTCTTAACAGGTGTTTTCCAGCGCAGCCGCCTTTTCTCTGTTTCTCCTTAGTCATTCCCAATATCACTCTTGCCCATGTTTGTACCGTCGGGTATGTTTTATAGCAGGTGGGCACGATAGGTAAGTCATAAAGTGTCTGCATGTCCCACTAAACTATTAGTAAAAGCATGCCCCATCCACGTTCCAGGCATCTCTTAGTCTTTCTTTTTGTATAAATTGTTTACATTCCATCCTTACGTATGGTGACCCTAATCTGTCGTCCGTTAGTTGGCCTGGCGTTGGCATCCATGGAGATTGTGGGGGGCGTGTCTGGCATGGGGACGTACCAAGAATGACGGGGGTGACATACACGGTACACGTTCTCCTCCTTCAGACCAACTGTTTGTGCATTTGCTTCTCTTACCTTACCTCTTACTTAAGAAGTGCGTGGACGTTTGTGTGTGTTTGAGTAAGGCGCAGCTGTCAACACGCACACTTCCATTTTGGATCGTCCCCGGAAGTACACCCCCATTCACGGCCCCACACTGGCCTGTCCACACACGGTGTACCTGGGGAGGTGAACGTCAACCTGCGTCCCAACAGCTATACACCGTCTTCCTTCTGCAACCTTTTAGGCCCTTATATAAGAGGTAAGACAGGGTAGACATTTATTGGCCGTACCCTACGGCCCGATATAATTTAGTACGGTTGCTATTGTTCTGTACATCGTTGTAGTAGCAGGCTTTAGTGAGATACGAGGGGTCAAATGTGCGCTACACACCTGTAAGACGTGGAATGTGTATGTGTTTGTCGGTGGGGAAGGGGGGTAGTTGATTCGGAACAGCGTTTATAGGGGACAAACTAGACAAACCTGTACCCCACAAAGTCAAAGATGGCGGCCACTGGTCAAATAGGGAACATGCATTATTTATCGGAGAGGATGGCTTACACGAAATTCAATACCAGAGCACGAAAGTGTTGGCACTAGCATGGAGGTAGAAAAAAGAGTCTCTTTTTTCTACCTCCATGGCACTAGATAACATCCTCAATCATTTCACTGAAGAAATATACAGGATTTCAATACGCCAGACACACAGCACCAGCAATTTTGGCAAACATATGACTGATACTGTGACCTCCAATGACCCTCAATGTCCCACCAGAAACATGTCAGCGTCCGCCATGCCCGCCGTCCCCCGGTCTGTTGATGACATCACCCAGCCCTGGATACAACAGGTACTCAACAACACCGACCCTGACGTCAACATCACTCACGTCAACATACAAGGCCCCATAGGTGAGGGTCAGGGCTTCATGAACAATCTCGTCGCCTTCGAGGCCTCCGGGAATAAAAACGGTAAAGAGGAGAGATACAGTCTCGTGGCCAAGCTGACAAGTTTTCACATGATGGAGGTCGTAGAATTCATGACCGAGGATGACTATCTCCAAGTTGACACAGCAGAGTCTAAGTTCTACTCCGTGGCTGTCCCGGACTTCCTGTCCGTGTGCGCTCAGCCTAAGGAGTCTGGAGTCGAGGCTATTGTGCCTGTCCCAAAGTGCTACTTCACCGCCAGCGACCAGACCTCCAAGATGTCGGTCCGTGTGATGGAGAATCTGAAAACTCAGGGCTTCTCCATCAAACCGTTCCCACAACCGTTAGACGTGCAGGAGATGAAGCTGGCATTCGGAGCTCTGGCCCGGATCCACGGGCTGTCCCACCGACTGGAGCGGCAGTCCGGCGTCCCGCTACCCGACAAGTACGGCTGGATGATGGACATCCACTCCACCAAACAACAGTGGTACGAAGCGTCCTACCGCGAGGGGTACAAGACCTTCGCAGAAGCCTTTCCCGACGCCACAGACCTGCTGGCTTGTCTTGAGAAGCTGAACACCATCCCAACGGTCATTGAGACGGTGAAGAACCCAGACAGGGTTAAGGTACTGAGCCATACGGACTGCTGGAACAACAACATCATGTTCAAGGTACAGTCCAACATCTGCTCAGCTCAGATGATCATCTATTGTAGAAAACGGAAATGTTATACTGTTGCATGTAACGTTAGATTGTGTCGATACGTTGTCTTAATCGTACGGTTCCTTTCTAATCTAACTGCCAATGCTTCTTAGGATACATTGCCAAGTAACGTAAAGAGATACCGTTATCGTTAGTTGTTCTTCTTTGCTTTTGTGTTCCTAACTCTTTGTACAATTGGTTTATTACTGTTACATGTATTTTAAGTACTGACTACTGGTGTGTTGTTTATAACAAGACTGTGTGCTTTGACAAATTTTGTTCGTCTTTTCTCTTCCATAGTACGATGAAGGAAAAGCCTCAGACGTAAAGCTGGTGGACTGGCAGACTCCGTCCTACCGAACCCCGACCTATGACCTAGTCCTCCTCTTCATGTTCCAAAGTTGGGACATTTTCCACAACCAACGGGACGCCATCTTGGAACATTATCACCAAGAACTTCAGAAGACCTTAGGAGAAAATAGTGCGTATCATCTTGAGGGGGCACACCCCAGTTTATTTTGGGTCTCAATTCGATTCTGCATACCCTCAACTCTAGCGACCGTCTCTTTCAGGAAATACCTCTTAAGCCAAAACACTCTGTTTGCAAATGAAGGATATCCCTCTAGATACGAGAACAAAAGAATTTCAATTTCTTTCACCTCTCACATTTTAGTAAATTTTAGGGGGAAAAAGAATTTTTCGATGAAAAATGATGCCAAAAATTGGCCATTTTCACGTGGAATTAAACCCATCACCCAGATTTTAGTCACCGATATGACTTATATGGTCGGAAAGAGAAAACCCTTATGTATCATTAAGAAAAGTATAAAGAAAATCCTAACACTGAGATTATCACAATAGCCCGTCGCGCGAGGCATAGCTACAGCACCCCCAGAACGCATACAAGGCATATCTAGGTCAAACCGAAGCACCGCCCTCAGGGCGGAAGGACACCCGGAAGTAAGCCTCGGGCCCGAAATCAATTTTCACCCAAAACACGCCACTTCTTACACTTTCCAGCCATGTTAGTAGTTAATCCCATTTTGCAGCAGATTATGAGAAATGTAAACTCAAACATGAACCATCGGAACCCCTTCGTCACTTTTTTTCCGGGCACTACAGTGGAATTGGTGTGTGCACCGTTGAGTTTATTCGGTGTAAAGTTGTAGTGTTTTAATTGTATTTACTGGTTCGTAGTGCCTTACTTTCAAAATTCAAGTGCAGGGGGCGGTAGCTACATACATCAGTTCTTTTGTGTTTCTACAGAATCTACAGGTTTGCAGCTGTACACCCTGGAGCAGTTGAGGGCAGACTTCCGTGCGGACTGTGCTATCGGCGTGTTTGAACGGATGATCTTCGCTCCAGGCCTGCTGCCCAGTCAGCAACCCGACCTGCTGAAGATTGTGCAGGAAGTCAGGGACTGGGGCGTCATCTAGATGTTTAGAAAGGACATACGTGTAGAAAGGACGTACGTGTACGGCTCATACCAACCATACACTGTACAGCATTCAGCATTTGACCATTTATCTTATTTCTACATGCCCATGAGTGTAGCCAGTAGTAAAGAAAGTGTGAAATGGTCTATAACGCGGCCTGGCAGTAGTTAAAGAGTATTTTAACAATGAAAATGAGCAGAAAAATACCCGCCAGCCTGTATTACACAATCTATTAGGTCAGAGCAGCGTCTTTCTGGTTGGGTTACATGATATAAGGGTAACGATGGCCAATTACTAGTTACTAAGACCATAAGGCGAACTCATAAGGGCCTTATATGAAAAAAAAACATACAACAGGACACATGATAGTTTGAACTGTATTCATATTTCCATATTGCTTTGACATACATTATACGTCTTTGAAGTAAGTAATAATATATAGATATTTGCAGCATTTTATAATATGAATCATATCTTTTAACGTCACACTTATGATTGCGATATGTACATTGTCATGGATATATCAAAATAAATTCTCTTTTCTTTACATCATTTTCTTATATTTATCTTTTCAAGTAGCCACAATTTCCTACGTTTATCTTTTCAAGTAGCGCTAGCCACAATATCAATCAAACATGTACAACCGTATTTCAGTAGCCTTAATGCTTACAGTACGTAATCTATACGGTGCTGATTTTTCACCTGAGCATCGCAAATTAATTATATTTGGCAGTAATATTATTACAGCAGCATTTTGCACACACGATCGTTGTCCAATAATTAGAAAACTGGATTTTCCCTTAGACTTAGTTTTCGCTGTCCTGTCCGGCAACAAAGACGGCAGAACATGCTCTCCCGATACAATATCGCACAGCTGATACGTCTCTTATATTTATGTATATATTAATTTTTTCAGTCTTTCTGGTCAACTTCGGCTGACTAATTGCATTAGTTATTATTTCCGCTAGGCAGCGTTGTTGGATTAGGAAACGGGCGCACTTGCAGCAGCCCCTGCCACCACAGAGCGACCCCGTGGAGAAATGTCTTCGGTCTGTGTTCCTTCGCCCATTCGTTGTACTGTTTGATACTGCTCTTGAGTTGCTGGGAGTAGTCCATCGACTTTCGGCCTTCCTCGAAGGGCTCCCCTGCTTTCAGGTTCCGGAACCACCGCATCAACTCGCCGTCCTTCCCGGGGCGACTGGGGGGTACCGGCCGAGGGACGGAGTTGTCCTTGTCCGGTACTGTAGCCGTGGAGTGACAGGAGGCGCAGCAGGACTTGAAGTTGTCCACCGGTCCGTTTGCACGGCCCAGCCAGCCTAGGTACGGGCGGGAACCTGGAAACAAAAGATAGGAGTTTAGTACAGTATTGTTACTGCAAGTACTAGTATCACACAATTAATGATCGATCAGGAAAGAACACAACAGGTGAAGAACACAATATAGAAAATTTGTCCTCTGTACACGGTAACCATCTGAAGTGCAAAATGTAGCCGGAAAATAGATATGATGCTTACTTGGTAGTATTCCCAGCTGCCTGATCCGCGGGTTGTTCCAAGTCTGTACGGGCCGGGCGCCCTCCTGGTACCGCTGCTGAGTCAGGTCAGGATCGTTCCCCCACTGCAGACAGACGGGCACCAGCCGCCGCCAGGGGGCGTCATCGCACTGGGAGCTGTGGTACACAAACGTCCCGAACACCCAGCCTGAAAATAAACAAACAAAAAGTTAGACAGATTATCTCAAACATCTTTGTTGCGTTACGATACAACACATGGCTACTTTTCAAACTAAAAAAGTACCAGTACACTTCAGGAAAAACTCAAGCGACACTTCTTACGCTATAATAAATCACCTACACTTACCAATATCAGCATGTTCGTCCCTGATGGCGACGTCCATCTGAATGAGTCTCATGTGTACAGGCGGACCCCTGTCTCCAGGTGCCTCGGGTGTTCTGGCGATGGCCGCCTCCCAGACAGGACTTTCTGTCAGGTACGGAATGTCTTCTTCACTCCCTTCTGTGAACAGGAGCTTGAAACCGATGGTTCCTTCAGGAAAGACGACGCCGTCCAGTTTGGGCCGCGTCGGTTCCTTCCAGACGTCGCCGATGACGAAGGCGCCGGGCGCGTTGTAGAACGCCACGGCCCACGTCTGCAGTCTCCGCCGCTGGGTGTCCGCCAGCATCCCGGGGGCGGCCGGCCGCTCCATGGTCAGCCCGTGGATAGGCTCACGCCCCGTGGGGAGAAAGGACATCCAGGGGATGTGGTACCAGTCCCGGGTCTTGTTCTCCTCCACTCTGAAGTCACTCTCGATGTTACCCTCCAAACAGTAATCACGAACGGTTCGCAGATATCTGAAATTGATTTAAAAAAAAAAAGATTTTATTGACTTTTCTTGCCATGACCAGACTTGCCTATTTATTTAAATTCTAACGTTACATACAAATATATTATTAAAACAGTCGTTTAGCTCCTTGTTATAGTTACTTACACACACACATACTTTCAGGACTACATACAAATGCTTGCATGTACATAGTCCATATAGAAACCTAGTATTATCTAACGTGTAGGTTCAGACATGAAATGACAACAGAAGTTCATATATATATAATATATATACCTCTCTGGTTCTGTCTTGAAGTCCATGCCCAGCCAGGGAAAGTCCTCGTCCCCAGACTGCGGTTTTGAGGGGAAGTCCAGGCGGGGTGCGAACAGCTGTCCCCGGTACCCGGGCGGTGCAGGGTTGTAGGACGGCCGGCTGAACTCCCGCAGTGCCGCCCGCTGCCATTCCGGGGTGGGTCGGGGTGCTGGAAAAGCAGAGCCCCCGCCGCTACCCCTACGGTGCCCGCAAGCGCGGAATACTTGCAAAATCTGTACAGCGACATGTTGCTAGGTGCGTGTTTCTTCGCTCAAGTCGTTTTAACGACTGAGCGTTAGTCATCAAAATACCTTTTATACTTCAGAACTTTCGGGAATCCCCGAAAGTTGCAAAGTTATTGCACAACCGAAACTTGAAACCCTCCGAAACCACCTGTAGTACATTGGCCTATTACTGTATTAGTAGGAGGAACGATTATACCTGCTTCTGTGCTACAGTATATGGCATAGAAGATGGCATCGATAGGTTGGCGCAATAATGTAATTTATCATAACAATTTGTAAATGCTATAGAAATAGTCTTCAATAATAACGTTTGTATTATCTATTTATTTATTTGTGGCAATTTTAAACAGAATTATGGGCTATCGAGCCCAGTTTGTGTTGACTCCTAACTGAAACTTTTCCTCCTAGATATAACCAAGTTAATAGAGGGTTGAAGAAAACTTTGAGGATCTAAAATAATCCATAATTGGGCAAAGTTAGAGATAAATCAGTGTATTTCATGTAGTTTATAAATCTTAAAACTTATGTTACTTCATGCAATACATGATAGATTTCTTCAATCATCATATTAATGCTCTGAGTCTGACATGAAATAGTGCAACCCCCTTAAGACATAATGCGCTGTTCCAGTTTCCTTACGTCACAGCTCTATCTGGTATTCCCCAGCTGACCAAACTGGTCATCGAACTGACCGAAACTTCGGCCACGGGGATTTCTCAGAAGACGTCCCAACTGCGCATGTTTGATCACCTTGTGCAGAGAAGGATCTAGAAGTAGAACCATGCCTTAGCGCATTCGTTAAGTACTTTATCAGCCACCTTCTTAATCACGTATGTGGTACAGTCCACAACCCGGAAGTGCCGTGCCAACATGGCGGACAGCCACAACAAAAAACAGACAGTTGGAGTTTCTGCGACTTCTCCGTACGTTTGACCTTGTGTTACGTAGCGTATAAGTCTCGTATAGAGTCTATAGCTATAGATGATCTGAAATTTGTCAATGCACACATTATGATGATGTAATGAATTTTCCTGCTAAATATAATTGCTTGTCAACCTTTGTTTATGTCGAAAAAAATATGACCCATTTTTCCATGCTCTTTATTTCCCATGTTAAAAAAGTTCCTATTGCATTGTGTACATCTGTATCTGTATCATTACCTAATGTCAATAATTTCGGTAGAGGCAAAAATCTGTTCTGTTTTACCCGCTTTCCATGGAGGCAGCCATTTTGTTATTTTGGTTTCCTCCCTTGTAACATGGAGGTAAAAACCTCCATGCTTGTAACACCCCTGGGTATGATATCACATGTACAGAAATCCCAGCAGTACTGAAGAGTTGAAACCAGATGAGGATGGACCAGCCATGAGACAGGGGGACTCTGGGTACTACAGTCATCCTCTCAGCAGGCAGGAGGCTTCCGACACAGTCGACGCAGTTTTTGAAAAGCCAACCCTTGGTTCTGCTGAAGGTAAGAGGGGACTCTCCTTGTGGTGTGTGTGTGTGAGTGTACATGTATCTGTGTTGTTAAAGAAGTATAACTGTCCTTAAGTGAACCAAACTGGATGCATAGGCACATTCTGTTGACAGGTAATATCATTACACGAAACAACCAAGATGACATGTACAGCTAAGTCTTGTGTATGTAACTTAAGCATGCATAGTGTTTTAAAGGATTTCATGAGGATGAAAAGTGCCACCTGTGGTGTTCTATATTCTGTAAAATGCAGATATGGAGCCATTTGCTTCCCTTGTGTTTTCCCAGGTAATGATTTATCCAGTCAGCGGATTAGGAAGGAAGAAGACAAATTCTTGACATGGGCAGCAGAACAGGCCAGTCAGTCCCAGGACTATCTCCAGTTGGAGGAGGGAGTCATGTTTTCCAAGTACATTGTGACCAGCACAGGAAACAAAGTTGAGGTACAGTACCGGTATTTCTGACAATTTTATAGCTAACTTAGCAGGGTGATGTTGCTGTTTTCTTCTGTTCACTTCAGACAAATGGTGAAGGTATGACTAAATAGAGTAAGGGATATTGGTCATTTTTGATACATGGGAAGAAGCAATCTAGAATGTTGGGCCCCCTAGTGACTTCCTTTAAAACAGCCGTCTTTTGTATCCTTTAGGTTATGTATAACTTTTAGGCACCCTTTTCTGACATTCTGAACCTAAGCACTGTCTTTCTCCCTTTCTACATGTGTATAGTATTTGCTTGATGACATGGTTTGGTGTAGCCTGGCTACATAATGCTTCTAAGTTCTAGCAGCCCTTCTACAGATTATGCCCAGACAGTGCAACATAGGCTTAGGTTTAGTAAAGGCATTTAAAATGCCTTTATTTTGCTCCAGATCCTCCGACCAGACGGAAGCCACTACCGGCGGGGTGAGAGGTACAGTCCGTCAGCGGAGTGGGTGACAGGGGGTCTGCTGGGGGAGGGGGCGTTCGGAAAAGTGTACGTCTGTGAGGACCTGGCAAAATCTATTAAAAAACAACATGCAGTGAAAGAGGTCAGTTTTTTTACTGTAACCTTTTTCAATATATCTTATTGTCATGAAGCTAAGATTAGAGTCATATCTATATACATCTGTATCTAATGTATTTCTTGAATGGTTAAGTTGATTTTACATAGATGGATTTGCTGGATATGCTATTGGCAAAAGTCTAACTGTTCTTGTTTATGCATGTATGATGATACCAGTATATTGAAAGGTTGATAAAAATATAAAAATGTCACAGTGATGATGCTCAAACATTAACTAACGTTTTAATTAAAACCAACTCAGATCTGATAAACTGACTGAATTTGCTCAAACCTACCATAAACTAGTACATGTATTTACCAAACATGGATAACAGTTATCACAATTGAATTGTGTCTGTTTGCAGACCAAACTGCGTGAGTTTAACCCGGTAGAAGCAGAGTCGTGGTTGAGACTGGGGTTCAGCCGCCATGTTTGTGGTCTGAACGCTGTGATGCTGCAGGACGGAGCGGTGTGGTGGCACATGGAGCTCATCAACCCCAGTAAGACTCTCGTTTGTAAGGCCACACCAATTTAATTTGTTGTTTCTCGGATTTTGTCAGAAAAAACATGAAGCTACAGGGCGAAAAAAAATAAAAATAAAAACAGGTCTAGGCATCCTATTATAGTCCCAAATGCTATGATAGGAGCCATGAAGTCAACACAAAAGGTTGTGTTAATATTTAAACAATGAATTTTGAACTTTTAATCAAACCACTGCATTGATAGATGGAAACACTGCAACAAGTAGGAAGAAAAATGACTTTTCTCAACTGTTGGGGGCAAAATATGAGCATTTTTGAGTTGATTCAGAACCAGAATCTTTTTTTTTTTTTGCAAATCAGAAAAAAATGAAGAGGCGAATCCGAGAACCAACAAATTAAATTGGTGTGGCCTAATGTTCAGTTTAAATAGACGCTGTAAGAGTTATACATTTACATGACATTACAAGCATTATGCCAGTTGTTATTTTTTTATAACCATGTGAAATAAAACTTTTAAGAAAACAGGTTTGAAGGTTGTTACAATTTGTTTTGTCACTCTTCCTAGGAGTTTCTCTAAAACAACTTGTGGACATCCATCAGCCAAATCCTCTTCACTGGAGGGATGCTGTTACCATAGCAACTGGAATATTTGCCGCCATTGCGCACATACACAGCTGTGGTGTCAAACACTGTGATCTCCATCGTAAGTAGGGAACTGAACTGTTTGTTAGCTGACCTACATGTATGCTGGGAAAGTTGCCTCCTACATATTGGAGTATTCCTGCTGTACTGTTTACATTGCTTCATCATTTCAATGCATCCTCGCTTCTGCCTTGTCCCCCAATGACCAGGAGGTCAAGAGACAAGGTAGTTAGGTTTAAGGTAGGCATCCCACTGTGTGGCAAAAGTACAAAGTATTGGCCTGCTTAATGATGTTATGTTTGGGAAAAAAACAATCTTTTACACTACATTTCCTCACAATCATATGATACCTAGTAGATATAAAGCAAAACAAGCTGAAAGATATCTACAAAAGGAAAACCACACTTCTACTCAGAGACTACAATTTTCCCTCCTGCAGCTGGAAACGTGATGTTGTGTAGAGACCTGCGTGTGAAGGTGATCGACTTCTCCCTGCTGCAGCCTGCGGTAACAGATGCTGACTTCAGCCTGGACGTACAGAACGGCCTGCAGCTGCTGCTGTACATGCTCACTGCCAGGAGCTTTCGCTTCTCATGGACACAGGAGTCAGTACAGGAACATGTCAAGGTACAACTCTGGGCTGTGTTAAAGGCCTCCAATGCAATTTTCTGCTCATTCTTTTCATGTAGTAACCCTATCCCATAGCATGCTAATATCTTTGGGGCAAAAAGGCGATGTCACTGACAGAAAACAGTTGCTTGTTTGGTACGGTTGCTTGGTTCTACTTATTTATGAGTGGTACTCAAAAAATAAAGAGCTGCCTCACATATTTTTTTTACTATCTCAAACACTTAAAGTAAATGTCAATCTCAGACAGATGTGACCTTAAACAATGTTACACTATAAATGTGAGTCTGGATCCTGCAGGACACTAAGTTGCTCCCCCTGGTGCTGAGGATGTTCCAACCTGTGACCAGTCAGACAGCAGCAGACCTTGCGAAGGAGTTTTCAGCCTGCAGGGTGAGAGGGGTGGATGAAGCTGATGGGATCAAAAAGGTAACACTCGTACTGAACATTGTGTGTAAGTACTCTGCATGGTAGCTACACAGCCTTACAAGCAAGTGGGAAACATTCCTGACCAACATTCCATAACCAAATGTTGAAAACACGTGACTTTATTCCTTGCCAGAATTGGGTGCTAAGTGAAAGTAGTAGGATAGGGTGGTGATGCAGATTCAATTTAATATGACTCACCTTATCCTAATCTCTACATACCATTGCAAAAGTGTAGTGACTGCGATTATACTCAGCTGTTGCAAAAAATTCATAAGTTGCAGATAATTTATGAACTAAATAGTTCTTTATTCAAAAGCAATTGTTTAGCAAGCTTTAAGAGCCCACATTTTGATGACCATCTGTCGTCTCTATAGTCATAATGACTGGTTCACTGTGAACCAATGCTAGGTGTTACTGGTTCACAGTGTACCAAAGCCACTACTGATGCAGTCAATGTTTTTTTTTTATGTTGCTCCAGGAGAATGCAGCCACTGGTGGTAGACAGGGTGCTGTCAGGGAGTCGTTTGCAACAGCAGCAAGCGAGGAAGACGTGCTCACTGCAGTACACAGTCATGTCAGCCAGGGGGACTCGCTGGAGGATATCTTTGCTGCACTTCCAGAAGGTGATTCTGTCATCTTTGTGAATAAACAATTACTATGTAAGATCACCGATGTAAAAGATATTCTTAGTTTCATTGAACATCCTTTTTTTTTTTATCGAGCATATTGACAGTGCTACAAGGTACTACTGTCTGTTTTAAAAACTTGGTGCAAAAAAACATCTGATTTTGCTGAATGATTTACTTTAATACTGACTATCTTCCCCACAGGTGGAACATTTGCTGTTACCACAAGAAAGATGCAGACACCTTGAGGAAACTGTCCTGTTATACCAGACAGAGAAATGAGATGAGACTGTGACAAACTACTAAAGATGGCATTTGGTTGGAGGGTGGAGGGATAAATAAACCTGTACTTCAGGATTTGCTGGTAGCCTGGCTGCTTCCCAACATGGTTTTCCATGGCTTCTGTACTTGCAGTACATGTAGTTTATAAGAGGCAAGCATGGGATCTGTGGAAAACCAAGTCTAAGGATCGAACCTAGGCTAGAAGCTGGAACATATTGAGACAAACTTCAGCTACACTAGCACATTATTTATTGACAGCAAAACACTTGTTAAGGTCTCAGGGACCAAATAGCTTGCCACCTGATATGATTTTGTTGTAAGTTATGTTAGATTTATGTGACCTTGTGTTGGCTGTCACTGTCAGTATTAAATAAACGGAGCTGAGTTTATGGATGTTCAGTAAAACTTTGCAAGACAAGTGTTTTGTAATCCAGACATCAGTATTCAGAGCTCGAGCACTGTGAACTAAACCAAAGTCATGACTTACTGTTCATTCGGGTTTTATATGAATAACAGCATGAGTTTTTCAAACAGTAATGTTCCTTCTCACAAAGTTGTACATTTTATATTTAAAGTAAATATCTGTAGCACTGACACTGTGTTACTGTATCATTGTCTCTGTAAAATAATGTGTTTTTATTATCTAGGTTAGAAATACATGTACTAGTACCCAGCGGCAGCTAGCCAAGAAGCCAGTAGAGGGCGCTGATGCATGGTGCTATTCCTGTCACGTCATGGCAGTGGAACACTATCTAGCAGGGACCTCCAACAGGCATTTTTATTCTTTTTGAAACGTTGTTTCATGGGCAACTTTTGAAAAGCCACACGGTCTGCACAAGGCTAAAAGATGCTGCTGCATTACTGCACGGCCAGACCTGTTCTAGGCTATCAGTTCAACTTTGTATTACAGCGCAACCGGATGTTAACTGGTGCTGACCTTGGTGCTGATCAAGGGGCCTTGAGCAGAGAAACCCTAAAGACGGTGTGCAGATAAATCGGTAGAGGGCGTTGCTGCATGGTCTACCATTGTTGACCTCCATGTGCAGTGATTCACATGCAAATCGTATTTTCTACCACTGTACTTCGTGTTCGATTATATTATCATCCCGATTTCTAGGTGTCCATTATGCTTGTCTGCTCTCCTAACTCGGGGTACGGAGGGTCGGTGGTCTTCCAATACCGCTAAAAGCTGTTATTACGGTTATCGCTATGGTTAGAATTGAAGTTCCGATCAGGGTTAGAGTTGGAAATAGGCGCTCTCTTGACTGCATAGTGTCCTGACGTCGGCGAAAACGTCAGGACGAAACCTGGCAGATTGACGGTGTAGCAGTGGCCTCTAGCGATTTGTCTACAGGCTGCAGGGTCACATTTACCTGCACGTGGCTGACGTAATGTTGTGCAGTTGCACTCTGGCCTTTGTGATGAACCGTATGTCTAAATTTAGTCACTCACAGCAACATTTTCTGTAATGTTTCGCCGTCCCATATCTTTAGCCGCTGTTATAGTTATCGCTATGGTTAGAATTAAAGTTATGATGAGGGTTAGAGTCGGAAATATGCGTCCCATTAACTGCAAAGCGTCCTGACGTCGGTGAAACGTATTGATACTATTTGGCAGGTGAACCGTGTAGCAGTGGCCTCTAGCGCTTCTTCTCCAAACTGCAGGGTCACATTTACCCGTGGCTGACGTAACCATGACGTAACTGTTGCAGTGTAGTTGCACACTGGCCTTAGTTAACTCACTCACAACCGTTTAGCGTTAAATCCCCATACACATGATAGTAATCAGATACGTTCATTTCTTCTCTTTTTGAGCCGTCATTTCATGGGAAACTTTTGAATAGCCAAACCTCAGGCCTGCTCAAGGGTAAATGATGCTGCTGCATTACTGCCCGGCCAGGCCTGTTCTAACCGAATGTTAACTGGTGCTGGCCTTGGTGCTGATCAAGGGGCCTGGAGCAGAGAAACTCTACGGAAGCACCCCCATCAAACTCCTTTCAAGCCGTACCCCGAAATTCAAGCCGTACCCGCTCAAAATTACTGGCCGTACCCGGAAATTCGTGCCGTACCCGCGAAAATTTCAAGCCGTACCCGGTACATTCGTGCCGTACCCTGTACTTTTTCGCCGTACCCAATGGCTTGAATTTCCGGGTACGGCACGAAAGGAGTTTGATGGGGGTGGGAAGGGTGTCTTCTGCGCGATTATATCCGTTTTCATCCCGGTTTATGGGTGTCTGCTCTACTCGGTGTACGGAAGGTTGGTGGTTTTCAAATCCCGCTAAATTCTTCAGAACTAAATTACAACTGGGCCGTTTGTTTACATGCTCCTCTAGGTTTCTAACCCAAATGAGTCTCACATAGGGGATGATTGCGTACTGCACTTCTTAATACTTCGGTCGTAGGACGGTCAAGGTCTCGTATATTGTCCAAAAGAAAATTAAATTTGTAAGAATCGGAACAATATGAACTTACGACCATGAAGAGGGGTGTGCAAGGGGTGATTGTCGACGAAATAAGCCACTATACCGGGATCCGGTAAATCTTTATTTTAGCCTCCGATGTCGAAACCTGGGAACGAGTCGCTAACACATGTGGCTGGGTGATTGCGTCATACTACAAACCATAAAAGAATCATAGTGTGAGCTGTCTGTGTGAGCTTTATAAATTTGAAAAAAAGAAGAAGTTTTGATTGTCTTATAAACCGAACGGGTGCAGCAAAATAAAATAAAAATACTTCAGGGGTGTCTTAAACAAAAGTGACATAGTAGCTACTCATTGATTGGTCAATTAGCAATCCATTGGATTAGCCTATTGGTCAATCAACAACCACATCATGACGTTGCCATCTTTGTTGCAGTTCAACTTCAATCTGCTAAGTCTGAAGTGGCGTCCTTGTACCGCCGAGAGTTGGAGAACCTAGGTTACGGTTGCCGTCCTCCGTAGTTTACCGCAGCTCTCTATTAGCTCTTTTGACGACGTTCTCTGACAAACGGACCCTTCACGTGAAATTGTTATAGAGGTAACTTGACAACTGTTAGGTGCTACGGCTTCCAGGCCTTCCAGAAGTGTTTATAATGGCGCTGGCACTCGTCCAACTCAGCTAGCCTCCTCCGTTGATCCAAGCCTGTGAGTGTGACTCTTTCACTCTATTTATTTTACCAGTAATTAGAACTCTTGCCAACTCTCATAGCTCGCAATCCTTACATGTATTTCTCCTTTGTTTTGGGAAGTAATTTGACTCGCACCGGGGTAATAGGTAGTTGAATATATGCGTAAACGATGTGCCTCCCATTTCTGTGAGAGTGGGTGAAATTTCCCGCCATTTTTGCAAGAGACGTGCCGAAGCGGTCCACTGTCGTACCGAGATGTTGAAGCAGTGTCAGATGCTAGAAAACGAAGAGGGACGCTACAAGAAAACGAATATCGACCTTTAAAATATGCTACCATGCAGAAAAGGGACTTGGGCTATCTTTAGACTTAAACGAATGAAAACATGTAACATTTTGACCAGGTCAAAATATGATACTTGCTGCGCTAGGGGGCGCTTTAGCCTCACCGTGGTGTGGAGCGTCTGTCAGGCTTATGTATGAATACTGTATGAATTCAGAAGCAAGGATCATGTCCACATGTCCTTTGTTTCTCTGACATTGTTCGATCAGACTAACTACGCTGGCTATATTATAGGAGAATATTTGCCAGGGGAGTTTGCCCCCCCCCCCGTTATAGTTTGACTGGCCGCGCAGGCATGGTGAAGGCTATTTTTCGATAGTTTGTATTGGCACTAGTGTTTCCTCATGTTTCTGACGTTACTGTAATATTAGTCGTTGAGTTTCTTCCACGAATTGATTGCAGTTTGTGACTTATTTTTTTCATCTAAGTTACTGTTTCTGAACGCGATATTCAAAGCGAAAACGTCGATGATGACTCATTCACATGTCATTTCTGCCACGGAATCGCCTCCACGTGGAGATTGTTGACATGCTGTCCAGTGATATTTATGCCTGTTTATATAATTGTGAAAGAAAAGCCACAAATCCTTTAAAGAAATCAACAGTGAATTTTGTAATGTCTAAGTTCTTTATTATCATTACGTAGGATAATAATTTTTATACGAGGTCATTAAATCCGCTGAAATAGAAAACGGATTTTTTAGGCATTATTACAGGGGACAGCTACAGTCACCTGACACACACCGAAATCCAAGATGGCGGCGAAGGTGAGTTTCTGTGCGAGTCGCTCCCGAAAATTAGTTACTAGTAACTTAACCTGTCACCCATCAATAGTTAGTACCTAACTAGTGATAGTGAACATGATGAAGAATGGTTCGGGTCAAGTGATATTCTGATTATTGGAGTTTTTAGCTGTAAATCCATGTGCTAACCCTAACGATAGCGGTCTGTCGATCGAAAATTTTCAGTTTCCCCTGACTATGAATAGTATGATGTACTAGGGAAAATCCCCTGCCTTAGCTTGGTGAGTCATATAGAATCCAGCCTGCGCGACACAAGGAGCAGTTTCACTTCTACTTTTGTAGTCATGACCAGAAAATCATTTTACGAAGAACCTGTTACTACTTGTAGCTAAAACCTGCATCAAAGATATTCAGATACTGAGAGAGAGACAGCTCAACAGCAAGGTGCATCAATTATATTAAAACACTAATTTCCCCTGATGAAGGTTTCTGCGTGCAACATTGAATTTGTAAGGATATCGTCATTTTGCTTGACAATCATTGACCTGGGATATCCAAACCCAGCACGGATTAATAAATTATTAAAAATGTCATTCCTGTAGCTTAGTGTAAGGCCTTGCTTGAGAATGGTGCAAACTTGTATATTTGTCTCCCAGGTGATGAAAGCAGCACGCTGTCCTACAGATGAGCTGTCCCTGTCCAACTGTGCTGTCGTCAACGACAAGGAGTTTGATGTGGAAAAGATCAGGTAGGGAAGATTGTCTAGTTTCTATGTAGATAATGTTGAAGTGTTCTACTCCTAGCCAGCCTGAAATTTCTATCCGTCTTCGCAATTTTCTTTCAAGTGATGTCGTGTCAAGCCCCAAAAATGACGGATTGAGCAGAAATTTTACTCGATTTTAACACGAGTAGTCAAATTCTGTCAAATTACAGAAAGAGGGAAGCTGGCTAGAACGCTGGACAATTTGGAAATTCTTGTAAAATAGTGATCGAAAAAATATAGCTCACAGTTCTGTTGTAGAAAAATACACAAAGGCACAAAAATGATCTGTAGCATGTAATAGCTTCCCATCTTGTGTCATAAAATCATGCTAATGTTTCACCTTTAAGTAGATGATCATAGGTCATTACACCATTTTTTACCAGGACAGACAGTGTTTACCTCTCTACATAGGCCTGGCAGAAAACTGGAGCATGTTCTGATTCTGTGCCCCAGAGTCATATTTTCCCTCTTTGTATCATTATGTTACTATCACACATATCGCATATAATCCCATATAATGTCCTTACAAATAGTAAATTAAATATATCATCATATCATTGATATAATTAATGGCTTACATCTCTGTTTTTCCATCTGTAATTTTGCAGACATGTGGCAGTGAGGACTGGTCCAACAGACAAGTTTATCTTCACTCTGAAGTCTCACAGCAGTGTTGTACCTGGTACCATCGCCTTCAGTCTCATACAGGTTAGTACAGTCTCACACTGGTGTTTAATATAGCCTTCAGTCTCATACAGGTTAGTACAGTCTCACACCGGTGTTCTTAGCCGTCAGTCTCAATACAAGGTACTTTTACTGTTGTCTCACACCAGTGTTTGCCTGACCAATTACTGATGTCACATGATTTGTTGTTCATTCATTCAATCCTGAATAAGGCTACTGTACAATATAGAGTATACAATATCAGCATCAAATACTCCTTCTAAAGCTTTAAACAAACTGTACATAATGATCCTGATAGAAACTATGTAAATGACTTTAGTACAAGTAGTTGAAAAAGATAGATACAGTGTGGTCCTTGCTACTGACAACAAGCTGCCCCTCCCCACCTATGGCCACATATACAGGCTTGTTGATATGCACCACCGTGCGGATATGAACTCCACTGCCTGTGAACATCTCCACACGATCATTCTCAGTATCAGCCACAATTATCCGACCCAACTTGTCAGCACAGATCCCTTTTGGTTCCTTAAGCCTCTCTTTTCCAAATTTGGTGCAGAAAGTTCCAGTTTTGTCATACTTGTAGATGAGAGAATACCGCTCATCTACAATGAAGATGTTCCCTTCATTATCAACTGTAACTGAACCTGGGTTTCTCAGTTCCTGACGTCCAAACTTACGCACAAGTTTTCCATCAGGCTGGACCAACCCTGCCTCACCTTTCCTAGTTCTATGTAACATTGTCACTATGATGTTGTTAGATTGGGTGTCCACAGCGATTGCCTGGACTTTGACTCCATACAGTGTCCATTTTAACCTGCCAATCAAACTCCCATTCTGACAGTACTGGTTGACAAGGACATAAGGTCCAGACCACAGGACCCACAGGGCCCCAGTTTGGTCCATGGAAATGACTCGTGGACGGATATATGATATCAATTGTTTGTTGGGTATGAAGATAAATGTGTGGAGAAAAACACCCCCATGCTGAAGACTTGGATTCGCCTGTTTCCCTTGTCAGCAACAAATATCTTGCCACTAGTGGACACGGCCAGTCCACGTGGATATTTGAACTGGCCCAGTCCTCTTCCAAGTCCTCCGAATATTATATTGCTCTTCTGAGTCTTCTGAGTTGTCTGTCCTACAGAGGAAACATGTGTGGCCAATAGCTTAGATTTGTTACAGTGCAAATACCATGTTCTTGTGTGAAACTATATGAATTTCAAATGATGTGAAGTCGACATTTGTGAAATAAATACCTTTTGTGCTCTCAATTTTGAATTCATTTGAGTTGGTAACATCAGTGCTCCCAAGAATTGGTGAGATGGTACCATCTGTTGGGTTGGTACCATCAGTTGGGTCAATACCATCAGTAGGGTTGGTACCATCAGTTGGGATGGTACCATCCGTTGTGATGGTACCGTAATTTGGGATGGTACCATCAGTAGGTTTGGTAGCATCAGTAGCATTGGTACCATCAGTAGGGTTGGTACCATCAGTTGGGATGGTACCATCAGTAGCATTGGTACCATCAGTTGGGATGGTACCATCAGGTGGGGTGGTACCATCAGTAGGGTTGGTACCATCAGTAGGGTTGGTACCATCAGTAGGGTTGGTGCCATCTGTAGGGTTGGTACCATAAGTTGGGATGGTACCATCAGTAGGTTTGGTACCATCAGTAGGGTTGGTATCATCAGTAGGGTTGGTACCATCAGTAGATTTGGTACCATCAGTTGGGTTGGTACCATCAGGATGCCCAAGGATGGGTGCCTCAGTGCCCATGATGGTAGCTATGATAAGTGTGCTGGGTGTGCTCACATTTCCAGCAGGGCTAAGCTGGTGAAGTAAAAGAACAACAATTTTTGTCACATTCCATAAACTTCTGTACAGCTTCTGTGCATGTGTTATTACAAAGGGCAAAATACAGAATTATAGGGAACAACTTCATTCTACATGTGAAATTTTGCCTAGTTATACATGTAGTACAGCCCATTGCCTATAGTTATGAATATATAACAAAAGACCTTCCTTACCATCTGGATGCCTGGCTCCTGAGCATTGTGCTGAACCCTTAGGAAAATTCCTACAGTGATGGTTCCAACCAGGAGAAGGAAGGAAATACAGGGGAACAACCAGCAGTACCGATTGACAGCAGGATGGCCTGTTTTTATGTACATGTTTGTAGTTAAAACTTATTAAAGACAGCTTGAAACAAATGGCAACAAAATACAACAGTTCCTGATAATACTACTACTAGTCAAATGTGATGTTTTCATTGCAAAAGAACATTCTTCAAGGGCTGTGGTGCCAGGTTCTGAATTTGCTGCTATTACTATTAGATCTATATAATGAACAACAATGAAAATAAGAATAAAATACTATTTTAAATAGGAACAATTTTTTTTCTTTTCCACATCATGCATGTTTCCTAGGAATTGTTTCCATAGATAACCATTTGAAACCCCACAGACTGACAAAATAAACTTACCTTCTGCTGGCCGCTTCCTGTGTGCTGAATACATAGGATTGTCCAGCAGTTTATTTTCCTTTGTAGGATTACTACTACTACTAGGAACTGAAGGATTATTCACACCAATGTTATTCTGTGTGTCATTTGCTGTCTGATACATCGGATTTGGGAAAATCCTTACCCCGTGGTCCTGATCACGAGGTCTTTGTGTGTCTGGGTTTGTTTTCTGATGAGACCTTTTTGTTTGTGATGCTTTTGCAGTGTGTGGTGCCATTTCTGTATGGCCAGAGATAGCATATGGCTCGATATCAGTATGATCAGAGACAGCGTGTGGCTCAATATCGGTATGGGCAGAGACAGCGTATGGCTCAATATCGGTATGGCCAGAGACAGCGTATGGCTCAATATCGGTATGGCCAGAGACAGCGTATGGCTCAATATCGGTATGGCCAGAGACAGCGTATGGTTCAATATTGGTATGGCCAGAGACAGCGTATGGTTTAATATCAGTATTGTCAGGGACAGTGTATGGTTCAGTGTAAGTGTCAGAGACAGCGTATGGTGCAATGGGAATATTGCTATGTTTTGCATGAGTAGGTTTGGTTGTAATATCAGGTTGACTTGTGTCTGTGCTATCAGCTGTAATGTTGCCCTTTTCTGCTGATATATCATTTCCAGAGCCCCTGTATATTTTAGAGACTTTTTGATTGCTGATGTTTCCTTTGTACAAGGCATTTGGTTCCTTGGTGTTTAACAGGGTAGTAGACCAGTCTGGGTCCCCAGTGTTTGTAGGATATATGGGGTTGATGGGTGTATTCATCATTGTAACTGTGTTCTAGTTATCCTAGAAACTGCTGAAAAAAAAGGGAAATTATATAATTATAGCAGCTGATTATATTGCTACTAGTACTATTATGATCATACTAGTAGTACTCAATACACAGATTCTTCAGCCATTTTTCCATTGCAATTTGCAAACTCATCAACTTGGAAATAAGTGCCATTATTTATGTTGAATGTACTATTGTTAAGTCAGTGCATTTGGTCAGTCTGCAATGTTGGATTGCATATAGATCTATGACTAAACATTGAATTCAACTGAAAACCAAGTTAACATGCCAGTATACAAGTTATTTTACCATGGTAGATATGCAATGTTTTATCATTCACTCAGTCAAAACGTTATAATCTATTGAGTTATCATAACAATGATGAATCCCCATAAATTTAGGTGTAGATGCATTGAAATTGATATTGATACAGGTTGTCACAATAACATAGAACATATGACTCCCATAGCCCTGACCTGATCCATTGAAACATTGAAAATTGCATGCAAAAATTTCCCATGCAGATATTCTGTTTACTCCTAGTTTGATAGGCCACCAGAATTGCATGGTTTATACATGTCGATACAGACCAAAAATCATTGTAAGCTGACATGTGTTACTAGTAATGCGAACAAAGCTGAATATTCAAGTATTATTTTTTCTCTCATGTCAACTCTTTTTGATTTGTTGAAAGACAAATAGCTTTGATACTACTGGTAGACTATGTAGGAGAGTGTAGACGTGATGCTGTGGACAAGAAATATTTGTTGAATATTCAGTTTTGTTTACATCAAGCACACTAAGGTGGCAAGCTGGCCTCGCTGTAAAGGCCAGGGTTTTTTCGAGACGGGAATAAAGGCTCAGCTCCCACATGTAACCAGCCAGCTCCCTCGTATCAATTTTATATTGAGCCTAAAGTGGCTACTTACACACCATATACTGATATAGTCTTATAGACCATATTCTCAAAATGGTCTTTCTCCAGTGAAGATGTAAAAACAATACAATATGCATTCTAGCATTACAAACCATTTTACTGTCATAAAAAATTCCCCCTCAGTTGCTTAGCTCCCTCGCAATGCTTGCGATCTGCTCTCTCATGCTAAATTTTTCTAGAAAACCCCCTGAAGGTATTGATTTAGAATCTAAAACCTTTTGTTTGGGTTTGTTGACTTAGAATGTAAAGTTTCTGGATTCAAAATGATCTCTAGCAGGTTCCAATTGCAATGTTGTGCCCTTGGGATAAGTACTTTACACCTATTTCCTCACTTGACTCAGGTGAAAACGAATATCTAGCAAACAGCTGCAGCAACATATAATAAACTCAGATATATTTCATACAAACAACCTAAACACATTCAGGTAACGTTACTGAATTTCATGCTGTGACCAGGGGTGGTACCGATGAACTCAGTTTGAAAATGGTTCTAATATTCGAAAGGGATTCTAAAGTTTCATTTTGTGCTCCTAATGCTTTTCTGCTTAATAAAATAATCTTTTTAGAACAAAATAAACAAGGTACGGTGACTTATTATTGTACTGACCAAGTAGCTTGCTGGAATTATTTCAAGCTCTGCTTGTGGACATGTATTTTTTACATCATTTGGAAAGGAAGAAACTGACCTAAAACAATCTTATGTGAAGGTTAAAAAATCAAAGTGTAAAAATGTTCTGCTGTGCATGTAACCAACACTTACCTTTGGTAAGGTAGAACTGCCAGCTGC